CCCGATTCCCAGCGCTGATGATTAGTTCCACGCTCGTCAGAATTCACCCTTAGAATAATAAGTTAAAAGTTTAGCTCTACGGAGAGCGATTCAGTAGATTATCGATGACGCATCTTTGTGTCAGTTTTCCACAAGCAGATTTCAAAATTGCTGAAATGTAGTCGGTGCTATAAAGTAGTTCCTATTACACAAAGAATGTTGACTGGAATATTCAGGTGTGATGGAGTATTATTTTGGCAGATTTCTTCTCGTGGAGATAAAAATTTTGAAACTATCTCCCGTCAAATTTTGATCAATGCACTATTCTTTTGTCTGATTGATTTATTCACTTAGCAACTGAAAAATCTTTGAGCTGAGGGGTCAGAATGAACTTCAAGTTCAGTTTCAATTTTATATCTACATTATTCAGAAAATGCTCCCGGGAATGTGTACTTTGTTTATTTCAAATATATCACCATGTTTTGCAGTTATGTTTTGTTTACTGCGAATTTTCTCTTAATTGTGTCCTTGCCCTCCTCTTTTATTACCGATGTTTGTTTTCGCTATTAAACGCAAATACGAAGTCCCACAGAGGCAAATTGCATTCGATACGTTTCATTGATACAGCAACCTTTTAACTAAAGTGGCTTTTTGTTTGATTGATTCATATGAAAAAACATTAATGTGCAAGCAGGCCCAGTAAAGTAAAACAATTCCTTTGCTTTGTAAAAGTGTATATTTTTACTATATTTCCATATTCTTCGTCAAAAGATCTTAAAAACGAGATTTACAGCGGTATCTAATATACCTATCCATATGTTGTGTCTTTTGTATAAAGAATAAACGTTAATACCCGTTAAGACCATTAGCGTTCATGGTTCATACTCAATGACCTGTATGTCACATGACCTAGGCTAGCCAATCAGCCATAAATACAAAAGGTGAGACAAGGTAAAACATCTGTATGTTGTTCATTACCGATGGAATACTCAATTTCTATTTTTTGAACATATTTTGGCGTCTTTTGACTCTTTACACGAGTTTGTCCATCTGCTCATTTAAAAATACTTGAAACATAGTTTCATACTTAAAAGTGTGCACACTAATTAATGCAAATTTTGAGGGTGTTTGCAGATACTTTAATATTGATAAATTATTATGATATCGCTTGTTCAGCTTGATTCATGAGAATATATGCACATCATTCTTGTTTTCTATTTTCTGAAGCATTATTAAAAAGAATCAGCATTTTTTTTGGTGCGTTTTTTTTCTTTTCAGTGAGTTGCCTCAAGCAAACATAGCATAGTGATGAATTCCTAGGGGTTTTACTGTCGTTACCGGGGCGCTGAATACAGGTGTTGGTTTCACTCTCTTGATGAGATGCCAAATGTCAAAAAACTACATTTATTATGAACGCAATGCCATATCACGTATATGCTTTGTGGAGGAAATGTGAAGGTTCTGGTTGCCATGGTTACTCAGGAAGAATTATATTCATGTTATTATTATCTTTGTCATATTGAGATTATGAAACGATTGGCTGACTAATCCTGGTAACAGATTGCTTTAAAAAAAAAAAAAGTTTAGCTTTTGAGGCTATTGTACTAATTGTCATTTTTAAAGCATATTTTGTGAATGAAAATCTCTGTGTTTAAATGTTATGCAATGTATTTGCTTAGTTGGGATATTCATTATTATAAAGCATGCTCTTTGCAGGAAACTGGATGGTTTATTTGTTTTTTCAGACCATATAACACATTCATCGTACTCTTTATGTCATTTTAGAAAAATTCATTCTATTGCACCCTGGGTAATCTGGGAGGGGGGACTATAATTAAAAATTCAAATTAACGAGTATAAAAATATTGATATGAACATTATACTTCCATGCTGGATACAGATCAGAAAATGTGACAAATCATTCACAAATTCTTTGAGTCAGTGAAACATGAAACAGTTGCAGCGACTTTTACAGAATCTTGTTCTCATGAATGCTATTGACCTTTAAGCACCAAAGCCAACATTTTTCACATTCACAAATTTTAAACCCACATAATTTTTTTATTTTGTTTTATCAAAATTAACAAAGCAAATATAAAAAAATATGCAATTAAAGGCAAAATGTTGTGTTCTAGAATTTCTCAGTTCATTGTAGACTAAGTTATATGATGTATATTGTATGAAAAATTAAGAAATAATAAATTTTATTATATTAGTCAGTAACTTTTTTTCCCCGTTGGACTGTAAAATTGTAAATAAAAAATTTACACTAAATGTAAAAAACTGTATGTTCTGTATGACTAGATAGTAAACTATTATTTTATTTTTTCAATTCATTGCTCCATAATGTTCCCCTCTAAAACTGTTTCTGCAATGTTTTCATAGTTTGTATGTTTTTTTTTAATTTCTTTATCTATGTTTTTTCAAAAAATTGATATCTTATGTTTAACCCATTTCGGTTCAAAAAATTGTCGTTTTTCATAAATTTGTTTTTTTTCTAAGTTAACAAAAACTGATGAAAAATTATTTGTTTGATAAGATGATGCTGTCAGCTTGAGGGGTCAGATATGTCTAGCAGATAGTAGTGATCAATCTTCACCTCTGTAATTTGCACTATTCTCCCATGTACGAGAAATCAGTCAGCGACAGGGATAGTAATAAATTGTTATCGCTGATTCGTCAATAAAAACAGAATGACTCACAATAACGACCTGAATTTTTACATCCTTAATTACCACAAAGTAGACGATTGTGATTTCCATTTCAACACCTCGGGCTCAGTAATGGAAAAACATATTTCTTTTTTAGTAATTTTTTTGTTAAGCGATTAACAAACTTTAATAGTGTTTGCTCAGGTTTTCAATAAAAAACAATAAGGTAACTAAAAAAAAATTTGCTAAGTTTCAATAAAAAAATAAAATAAAAAAATAAAAATTATATTTATATTGTGATTTTACATACTATCAACTGTTAAAAGAATATTTGGATAGCAGACTATAGCTAATATAAAATTACAACTTTAATTTTTTTCTGTTTTTTTCTTTCTTCCATATTCATATGGCATGAACATTCATGCATTTGTTTATTCATACTTGTAAGAATTTCTCATCGGTTCAATAAATAGATAAAGATTTATAGAAAATGATTCATTATTATCGTCGTTGATCACGGCTCTCTCAGTTTAATTACGGTGGTCGGATACTTCCACAAGCAGCTTGAGTCAATATATTGAGTACTTGCATGAAACTGAACAATGTTTACCTACCAAAGTACCTCTAGATATATAGTTACCAGAGTCAACTAAAAAACGTTAATATGCGAGATCACGTACCTCAGCATTACACCTGTGTATCAGAATTGGCAGACGAGAAACACTGAGTGTATAAGCGTGCGCATTCCATCAGAAGGTCATGTAAAAGGATTCATTGAATGATTTGTTTAAAAAAAAAAAGATCGTGGCTTGGTCTCCCTCAATTAGCTATACTCTAATTGCATTTATTTCTAAGTCACACTGTGAATAGAAGCACCAACCCTAGATTGATGAAAGTTTATTCCCACAAAGAAAAGAGAATTTTAAGACGAATAAAATCGTTTCTGTATTTGAAAACTGACGGTGTTGTTCAGTCGTCGTCAGGATGCAGGTAATGGCACAAAATTAATCCAAACACAAACGTTGTGCTTAGAATTTGAATTAGATTCAGTCGGTTCATCAGTTTTTTGGCGATATGTTTTATTTCAGTTGTATAAATTTCCAAACCAAATTTTTGTAATATTTGTATTTTGTACTACAAAGGGCGTAGCACCCGTCATTGCGCACTTTGCAGTTCAATCGTTGGTAATAAACTATTCAAATTACTGCTGTGTAATTCATTTGCGTCACGCGTTGAATGATTTCATTCAGAAAATAACACCAATAAGAGACAAATGAAATCTTTTGAATAAGCAACGCAATTAATCAAATTATTTCATCATTTATTGCAGATGATGAACAGTATTTGATGCGTTTTTTTTTTTTATTAAAATTGAATTGAGTTAACTGGTTATTATGTTTCATTCAAACTGGTTATTCTAATTAAACTAATATGCAGCAGCGGCAGTAATGGTAATTTTGTGTCGGTTGCACTTGCTGAATGGTAATGCTTAAATTTCACTCAGCTCTGATGACTCCAGTCTGGCTGAGATTATTGCGGTTGTGAATTATAATCCAGCACTTCGAAACATATAAATAGACGTTGAATGTTAGAAACATACACGGATTTAACCGAACCCAGTACAGGATAATTGAGCATGTTTTGTCTTTATTCACAAAACATAATAAACGTCTCTTATGTCAAAGTTTGTTGAAACGAAAATTGGTGTATTGACGTTTGTTCAATGTTCCAGCATTGTCTTCACCAATGTCTGTAGAAAATGATACAGACCGAAAGTATGTTAATACTTGCAGCTCAAAAGTATTTTTTTTTTTTATGATAACCAATAATAAATACTGCCAAAAATGGCAATATATGTGCATAGGCTACCGGTAAATTTAATTTTTGAATGTTATACAAATACATATTTTTTTTTTTTTCAGGTAATATCAAACAATGACATTAAAATATCCCAAAATATGCAATGAGTATACAAAAAAAATTTACATATATAATACAAATATTTATTATGAATTGAATAATCTAATAATAGGCTCATTCTCGTATTATGAAAAATAACAATGACTGTAAAAAAGTAATTCAATTTTCATCAAGTAATATTGTGTGTGCTCTTAGTGCATCGACAAATGCTAATATTCTGGCATTTGCTGATATTTTGAGATAAAAAAAACAACAAAAACTAAAGTTGATTATAAACTGTTTACTCATCAGATGACAAAGGGATGAATTTGAAGAGCGCCATCTAAATGTAGTAGTGGCTTGATTTAGAAATCCTTTTGTTTTTTTACTTAGAGCAGCATTCATGTGTATAATATTGCTTTCTTGGTTCAGAGTTTTTGACTAACAAAAAGTTTTTTCGTCTCTCTGTAGGAGATGTGGAAGCCATTGAGCTGACACCCGTTCCTCAATCGCAGTTTGTCCCCCTTACTGAAGTCTTATGCCTCATTATCGCTGAACTAAACAAGAGGAAAATTATTGCTACAGTGGATAAGATTAAGGCAAAACTGGCAGATTGCTATGGCGATGTGAAGCTTCCAAGTGAGGAGATATTGAAGAAATCATTGGCTCATTTAATCAAAGAACAGAAAGTTTGTCACACTGGTGAAGGGTATTTTATAGTCACGCCAGAGGATTTCCTTTACCTTCGAAGTTGTGCTAGTTCGACTACTACGTCTGAAGTAAATGTAAGCCCTATTTCGCAAAACTCTAACCAATCAGGGCAGAGTTCGGAAGGACAGCCTCGTAAAACTCAAAAGACTGTGCGACATGCAGTTCAGATTTCTACTGAGAAAGGAACACACACAAGGAAGAAGGAACCACCATCTCCACGATCTAAGTCCTGCCGCCTAATTTGTCACACCGGGATTTAAAAAACGGTGACAGTCCAGTGCGAAATAGATCCACGTCATTACAGCGAAGCAACTCTTTAAGAGAAAAAAAAGCGCAGGCAAGCAAATCTAACAACTTCCAGAGAGCCGGCTCTGTGCGGACACCGGTTGTAACAACTGGTACACATATGTCAAATGCATCTGACTCTGATGCTTCTAAAATTGCTGATAATTGCGGTAATGCATTTGGATTTGGAAAATTGTTTCGTAAAAGTTTTGGCAAGAAAGGAAAGAAGATAGATGACAACCGGAGAGAGAAAGAGAGGGACAAAGAGAAAATAAAAGACAAGGAGAAAGATACTGTGGATAATAAGGAAACTAAAGATAAAAAAATAGATCTCTTAACATTTTCTGCTCAATTTCCACCAGAGGATTGGCCGCAGGTTCTACAAGAAATGAAGCGGAAAGCAGCAGTCATAAAACGAGATAAAAACGGTGGGAAATACGAAACAAGTCTTGTTAATCACAATGGCGGATCTCCTAAAGCAAGTCCAAAGAAAGATCACGTAGTAATTTGTGATGAAGTTGAGCATATTCCGGGACCGTCCACTTCTAAAGACAGAAAGATTAAAGTGTATCGAAAAAAGGATGACAGCGACCCTCTTCCTGAAAGCGAGGCAGAATTTATCATACCGACAAAGATGTATGATGACAAATGCCGCACAAAAGCGGTTTCTGAACAATTACGGAAACAATATTCCAGAAAACATAAAGAAGATCCTTGGAAGTATCTGAGAGAAAAGGAAGGAAAGGCAATGAAGAAAAATACGGAGAAAGAGGCTGCTGTCAACGGAGTTAATGGCACAAGGCCAAAACGTACGAGCGCTAAAGAACGTCCAAAATCTGATCCCAGAGACATTCGCTTAAGAAGTATAGCTCAGATACGTACAGCAGAATATGTCAGCAAGCTTCCAACATCTGCGGATGTTAACGATGTACAACACTGGGATGACGATATACATCTTGATGTAGATTCGTCTGAATTTACAACCAGCGATAATAACAGGGTGCTATCACATCGTGCCAAGAGTAACCTACGATCTCCAAAGAAAGCAACCGCTGATCATGACTTTGAGTCATCAGATATGACACCTTCTGAGGATCTCAGAGGACGTCATACATCTCGTCATTATCGGGCAATTAAGCGTGACGCTACCAAGATAATACGGGATATTCAATCACGGGTGGATGACACTTCTGATACTTTTACTAGCGACCAGGAAGATTATGCGACCCATCATCATCAGTATCTCCAGCGGCCGCGCCCAAAATCTGATGGCTATATGCTGAGTAGCCAACAGCAA